AACTGACTAACCTTTAAACTACGCGCCGCTAGCAGACGAAATTTGACCGAAATTTGGCATAATATGAATTATGCTTAGTAATTTGTGAGTGGAAACCGACTGAGTTTTTTGCTTCTGAAGAAATAAGTTTAAATGGAAAAACACCTTTGGGCTCCACAAATCAACGTTCAGTGGTCATATTTCCATCTCTCGAACGCTACAGCGTTGCGGAAATTCATTACGAGTTGGTGATCGCATTAGGCAAGCGGGTTTTAAACGAAAGTATACTACGCGAATAGCGCAAACGTTTCGAGAACGGAAATTGAAGCGTTGAAGAGCGCCGATAAGATGACCAGATGGTGGGACCCAAAAGACAAGAACGCACTGTCGGAATCAAAGAGGCTTTTCACGCAGCTTCGAGCATAAGTGCTGTATTGGCCAAAAATATAATTTTACATGTTATATGTTACAGAATTATCACCTAATTGTAAGGTACAAAAACCAAGTAAAAAATGGTTTCCCGTGAATGGGATGGCTTCGGATCAATTGAAAGTACGTAGGGCGTACACCGCGTGTAATTCGTGGAATTTGAATCAACACGAAGACCGCTTGCAGCACACGCTCACCATAGAAAAGGCATTGTTTTAATCTCTATCGCTAGTCGGAAAAGGACTTGGGCAGAGAATGGCGTCTCCCTAGAGAAAGATCAAGTTCTGCGGCACTGTCGGGTAGGATCGGGCATAAGCTGATGGTAGTACTTACAATAGACATTAGAGGCATTAACTACTGTCAGATACTCGCCGAGAATAAAACACTACCTTAAGAGATTCATGGGCCGTTCGCGTGGCAATCGAAAGCACGCTGCCTGGTTACTTGAGGACAACGCCAGGCCTCATTGCCATGCCTTAATTGTGTTTTGTATTGAGCAGATGGAATATTTAACGTTGGCTTCAACCTGCTTATTTTTTTTTATCTAAGGCCGTGTGATTACGGGGCTTTCCATGTCCTTAAAAGGACAACTTATAGGCAAGCATACACCACTATCAATTGATTTTGAAAAATCATAGATAGGGAAATTACATATTCGAACTCGAATAATAGATATATGGCCGCTCAAGAGCTGTCAGAGCTTTGGAATACATGTGTAAAAAATACAAGAAAATGCTTTTAAAACATCTTAAAAAGTTACCTTCGAGCCCAGAACGATAAAATCATAAATGCTACCCATAAAAAACCATAAAAATGTGTGCTATTTATAGTCAGGATATGTCATCAGAAAAAAAAAACGGCCCAAAGATTGAAATGATTCGATGTGAAGGACAGTCATCGCGGTGGTCTACTAATTAGGAAAAAAGCGGATGAAATTATTTCGAAAAGCGAGAAAGACCGACGCGTGAGAAGCCATGACATCGCCATGGAACTAAATATCGTAACCAAACTGTTTCAAGCTATTTGAAGAGAGCTGGCTGCAAAAAAGAAGCTCGATGTTTGGGTATCACGCGAATGAACAAAGAAGAGTGTACTCTTTTGGGACATAACCCTATCTGCGAAACCCAACAAAAACCGAAAATGAAATTAAGTCATTTTCAAAGCTGCTAATTACGGATAATAACAGATAGATTATATATAACAATAAGGAGCAAATGGAAAGAAAACAAAAAAAAATCTATGGCAAAGTCCAGACTGACGCCAAAAAACATGGTAGAAATGGAAAGGAATCGTGCATTATAAATCTGCCATATAGCTAAAGGATTGATCTGGTGTTAATAGCTAACAGGACCAGAGGAAGCAATGGAAAATCGACCCGAACTAGCGAACAGAAAGATTATCGTCTTATTATGAAAATGACAAACCACATATTTATTGAACTATCCGCCAAAAATTGAGAGACTCAGACATAAAATTTCGATGCATGTACTCGCGCCCTAGGCTACCATTTATGTCGATCAATGTCATCTACACCGTATTAATTTAGACTGAATGGAGGAATACAAAAATCATTGATTACAATTTTTCGCCCAGACAACACAGAAGTTCTGCAGTGATAAGGTGTACCCAGAAAAATGGCAGAAGGTTACCAATTAAAATGATAATATTATTTGAAAACGAATTGTCTTTAAAATTTTGGTTAAAAAACAGTTAGTAGTTTTGTGAAAACTCTGTCTTAAAGCATAGAGCCCGCTATTGCTAATACTTGAAACACCTGTTCAGTTTGCTCCTATTAGCTAGGGAGATAGTCAATATAGACACCAAGCTAGCTTTAGTTTTTCCGAAACAAACGACTAAGTGGGCATTTCTTCGTAGCAAGCATTTTAATGAGCCCATCGTCCACTTGAAGATAACGAGCCGTCAGCAAGTTGGTAACCTTTGCACAAGCCACCTGAGTTCGACGACATCTATCAGTGAATAACTTATATATTTGTATTGAAATTATGTTAAATTATATTATTCAATTAGACTGCAAAAGTAAACTAAAAACGAGATTCCAACAGCAGTACTCTTTCAAGTAATAAATGATTTTCGAGAAGAGCCTTTGGGTTACGTGAGGTCGGTTTGCCCAGAACGGCATTAGAGAACTGAAAAATGACCGTTCAAAAAATTCAACAGATTCAAATCAGATCTGAGGGAAGGCTAGAACTTTTAAAAGTCGAAAATCCGAAAATGTTCAAGATCTAAAAAGTTTCTAAGTTTAAGAGCAGATAAACTTTTACCTTTACTGAGCATCGTTAAAGGCAAATGGCTCCTAGCACTAAACAGGGTGTGTTTGCAACCGGTTTCAGGGTGTACTCATCCTTAAGCATGGTATGGAACTCTTCCCAGGTTTCCTAAAACTAATGTCGTAATGAACGATATCGTTCAACATCGACCAGGATTATTAGCGAAAGGACACCGTCTCTCTCTCTGTTATTTTGCTATTTGCTGTTTCACTTCATTTTTAGGTCAGATCAGGCGGTGATGTCTGCATGTATTCGATAGACCAGATTTATTATCGGTTGATTTAACGAAGATGAAGTGATCATTTTACTGTCTCCATACCAGCGCAGTTGTATACAATTCTACAGTACCCATGATCGTGTATATGCTATACGATTTGTTGAAAGCTATAGGACAGATGCAAGATCCATATGAAATACTACAACTGTCTAATAGTCTAATACGTGAAGAGTTAGCTTCGTATTGACCGTCAAGGTTCTGCACACGACCCAAAACGATCGCCGTCTGCCAGTGCTGCAAGTAGTTACTGGGTAAACGGCCCCTCTCGGAATATTATAGTCTGCGACACATCAATTTAACGTCACGAATCATTCGTTTAAAACATTTCTCGCTTGCAATATGCTTTTGTTTGCAGGAGAAACAAAACTGGCTTCTCTATGGGCTGCACGATTTCCAATTTGAGCCTTAACCCATGAACAATGATCATTTCCTTAATTCACATATATCAGGAACTATTGGAAATTACGCAATTAAGCAACAACATTTTTTATAATTTATTCTAACACCATTATCTGCATTATCCTACAGTCAATTAAATGACTGCCTTTTGCGTATCTTCGCCTACGCAGCCCTGTATCCCCAAGAGCAGCCCTGCCCTGTATATAGCAGTCTATGGACGACTACTTATCAGATCCGGATCAACAGGTAGATGAGCAAACAGACAATTAAGTAAATGAATACCATCAATAGTTAGATAAGCAAACGTTTTCCACTTACAAGTACTCGTAGTGAGAAGCTGACAACATCGGTACCGTGATTGCCCATCTGCATTGACAGCGACGTGTCTATTCGTGTAAATCTCAGTATAGCTTATACTTGCATGGTCACCTTGTTGCACGGATTTTTTGAAAAAGATCCTTTTGCTAAGTCTCGCTATGTCTCATATAGCTCTATACCTAACTATAGCCCATCAATATTTTATCAAGCATCAGCAATTTGTGTCCTACAAAATGTTCAAGCAAAGTTAAGACAGCAGCACGAAGCTCGTACGGATAAGAGGCCAATAGAAAAAAAATCAGCCACGTCGTCCTCTATATATTAAAGTCACTGGGCCTTTACATATTATACTCGACTTTTTCGACGAAAACCTGCAACGACCTGGACGGAGTTGAAAGAAGCCGTTGCCAAAGTTACCTGCAAACTCGGGACCTGTTCTCATGTAATGGCATGCAGTTGGATTTCCAGTCTTTTTGAACTCTTATTTATTTCCTCATTTACTTCAATGATCCGAACGATAATATGCGCTAACTTCAGATGGCGAAGCATGCAAAAGCAGTCGCTCTAAAATATAACTTCATAGAAGCTAAGCTATTTTTTTAATCTAAATTAGTATTATATAGTATATACTTGGAGACAGTTATCGCACGACCTATATAACTCCTCATAAAGGTGGAAACTTTTAATTTTGAAAGGTTGGCTACTGCGGAGTTCAGCTAAAGGTATTTATTTCTATTATCAGTAGTCTATGAAAAGCTAGACAATTGCTTTTTACCATTCTTGATCTGTTATGCAATACACAAAACGCATTGATTGAGCCATTCATGTAAAATATTTTAATAGTAGACTAAATAATCTTTACAAGATTTTGTTACCATAAAAAATCTACAAAATCAAAAAAACAACACGTTAATAAGTTTATATTCAAGTACAAGGCTATGTTTGTATATATGCGTCAAATGCAAACCACTAGTTACTATAGAGAAACGAAAACTCAAGAGTTAAGTCAGAGTCCGGATACTCATACTGCCATAAACTTGCTGTTTGTTCCCGTGGTTTTCAGGTAAAAACGAAAAAAGGGGGCGGATTTACGACAATGATAGCATCAACAAAATGCAACAATGCAATGCTAAACATAGCATTGTCTCTCATAGTAGCAAATAGTGGTCTCGTAGCTGTGATCCTTTATAACATGGCTGTTACTTCTCGCTGCCTTGCAGTCGCGGCTCAACCATCGTGAAATGAACATCTTCAGGAGAACTCATAAAAAGGAAGTGAGTGATATCATTATAATCACGCGTAGTCGGCAAGGAACGCCCTTAACCGGAGCGCTAAAATATATACCACCAGTAGCTTATCTTCACAAGGCTCAACTGCATCATAATAATTTTATCGGCTTATATTAAACAAACATACACCAGGTCTAAGCTCGTCTTTTTAGTAGCGAAAAAAGAAAAGCTGTTGTTGTACTCTATGAGGGTGAGTCAGCTGAATTCTCTTATGTGACGTTTTGCAGAAGTAAACTTCTAGCAGCTCATAACCACTGTTGTTAGGTATGACTTGCGTTTGTTGTTTTCCGTTTTGAATCGGCAGTTTTAATCGTAGCTGCGCTTGAGAAAGTTATTCTCACTGATTCAGAGACATAGAACGCGATTCACATTAGCCAACTTACAAGTTACACGTTCTTGAGGCAATTGCAAGTTTCGCCGTCACCGTGCCACCGGAAGAAAAACAGCGTGACAATATAATAGATAAACAAGTTCGCAGCTAATTATCCTATTATAATAGTAACACTTTTTTCACCCACTGCCGTCAATCGTCTAAACTAAATACAGTTGACAAAACGTTTGTCTATAACATCTTCCAATCGAGCCTGACAAGTAAAAGCGTCATCAGTAATTACCAGTACCCTTTACGGTGTGAAAAACTATAAGCTAACAGTAAGCCAAATACAGCAGGACGTAATTGCGGGCAGTGTATGAGCAATGGGGCAATCCCGTACGGTTTTGGCTGAAATCCAAACAAGAACACAAAATGGCCGCGGCTTCGTACCGCTCGTTCCGGGGAGTGAAAAATTCCGCTGTTTGCCACACGGTTGGTATCAAACGGTGCGTATTTGAACGGGCTTTGAGTGACAGGCTCACAATTTGACGGTGGACATTTCTGCAATAGACATACGGCAAGCCCTGCTGGTGGGTCGGGTCCGTGCTCAGAACTGCTATTTAGCAGCAGGTGCGTCGTTATAGCAGCGGTATCATAGTGTTTCCCTACAACTATGAAAACTGCTGTTTCTCACTGTCGAATACTGATAATTGCGCTCATGTGACGACGTTGGCAACCAAGCTCTATTATAATAATATCGAACAATCACAGCCACGGGTAGCAAAATTTTAACCGCCCATAAACCAGTTATTCTGATATAAAGATAAAGTATAAAACAGATTTAGTGTACGAAAAAATAATGGTAAAAAATCGAAAATGATAATTGAAAACGTTTTTCGTTGACGCCGCGCGCAAAATTTGGAAGGATTAGCTGAAAGTGATATAGGGAAGTTCGTGAGTTTATCTGACTATGTACGGCGTAAATGCTTAAGTTGGTCCGGCATTATGTGATAGATCAGAAAGACAATAATATGAGGTAGCTATATCGTTGGAGATGTATTTATGCTATATAGTTACGTGAAGGTAAAGGCCTAACATCGTCCCTCATGTCATGCAATAAATGAAGAGGATGTCAAAGACTATTAAACTTGTCATAGAATAGTGCAACAAAAATCAAGTCTTTGTCTGCATGATGTGGCCCGGCACAGATAGCAAATCCGTATTCACGTTTCTTAATGCGTTGCAGATACATGCACAGTCGTTCAATAGAAATCTTCAATATCTGCATCATCATCAACAACAGCACACATAAGAGTAATGATGGTAAATTCATAATAAGAGACTAACTGTATGCCGCATCTCGGAGCATCCTTATAATACACACGCGCACAGAGCAATCGTACGACTTCGATCCGACATAGGAAAAGCTGATCAGTCGCTACCGAAGCTAACGGCTGATGACCCAGCTACAATCGTCGATGTCCGACATAAAGGTAACGGAGAGTAAAATTAAGCAGCGTTCTCGCAGGAGTTAATCTTGAAACAACTTGTCGCTCATACTTAGACCAATGCAGGCACACGTATATATATATATATGTGTATGTATGTATATGAGAAATGCGTGTTTACGTATGGGGACGTGCCCATGTATCTACGCCAATTAGTGGCGCCTAACGAGTATAGCGGTACGGACACGGCGGTATGTAACCTGGTGGCGACGAAAATATGAAATCAATTTTATGATTGTGTTCGATCTACATCCATGATCGGAAACGTATGACGTATTCGGCCGTATACGTTATAACGAACATTGATAGCGTCGCAACGCTTGTTCAGTCTCTCAACGAATCGACTAAATACATTTGATTAAACACTCGTCACGCCACCAAAATGTAGACGTATCTAACAGTTGCCTGTTTCGTTCTCACACAGGACCTTTTCTTTCTAAGTCAATCAGTAGTCTCCTCCAAAGGCTATAGACAGTGCCAGTTCCCTAATTACTGTTGTTCAGGCGATCAATTGGTTGCAAACTGCACGCCTTTCGATGATAAAACGCTCCGTGGTACTTGATAAACCGTAGCATCTAAGGCTGAACCGATTTCTTAGACGCTTGTCAATCATCGAGTGTGCGGCACATCTTAAGTATGACAGGGATAAGTCTCTGTGCCCGTGACAACTGAATGGATAACGTATTTCATCTGCAGGGCCTGATTCGAACTCTGGCATAGACACACTTGGTTTCGTGCTGGGAGTCAGCCACCTCGTGAGATGCCGTGTGACGGCAATACCGGACGTAATATTCGAAACATAGAGGAACAAGTCCGTGCTGTATAATTAGACTGACTGATTCGAAGCAGACATCAGCTTGATTAGTCCTGGGTCCTTCTCGCCAAATTGCTCGACTCGAGTCCAGCGAGTATTCTAGTAGTCACTAAACGAAGGCTCCCTGTCAGCACTGTGAGCTACCGTATTCAAGCTACAATTCTCAAGGCGGATGCATTTGTGCAGAGTTAATGAAGTCATCTTGATAGCCCTGTAAACTCGATCGGTTTTTATTTAACAGGAAGGATAATTTCAAACTCGTACAATGTAAACGTTCAAAATCGATTCATTAAAGTTGATCTGCCGGACTAAAAAGCGTAAAAGATTTTCTGATTAATTTAAGTTTTAATGACCGGGCAGTTGGCTTGAGTGATTATTTTTCTCGGCATAGATGAACAAGTACCGAATCAGGACATATTACAGTCAATCTTCGCCGCTATTTCACTGGTTTTTGATCCAACTTGAAAAGTGTGAATTTATAGATGCATCCACCGTCCAGGCAGGAGAACGTCCTGACGTTGGAAAGCTATAACCGACATCGCCAGGTCACAAATACTGGTTTACTGAATATCGTTGTGATACTGATATCTGTAGAAGCAGCGGACTTCAAGCAAATAAATTATGTAAACTAGATTATTGTTCAGCATATGAACGAAAGGGTGACTTGCTTGATATTTCATACAAACTTATGTTGAAAAATCTCTAACTTCCTATCCTGATAATATCAAACAGCAGTACAGTAAGCCTAAATAAAACATAACAACTTCCGGCCGTGTTTTAGGCACCAGAAAAAAATGTTGACAGCTTTACTTACACTGCTAATATTATCGGTGCAGGTTTAATTGGAAGGTGGCGATGAACGATAATCGTTTGTAGACATTAAAAAAACATCGAAAATAACCAAAGTAGTCTCATTCAGTTCAAAGGAAGACCAGTATCGTTCGTGATAAAACGCTTTCATCACACTTCTAAGGACCAACTAGCGTTTTTAGGAGCGCCTATATTATTTACTTATTATTAGTACTATTACTTATTTATATATATAGAATTGCCAATGCGGGTACTCGAGTATTTAGATAAATTTTGTATGCCGATTGTGTTGTTATATTCCGCCACATTTTAGGACCTAATATATATATAATGGTTGTGAAATGACTCTGAATGAATTATACGATCGATTAAAATAACGCGAGGTACAGATGGTCCAGGTTTGCAACAAAGGAGGTTGAAGATATACACAAACAGAAGTAATATATGACTTTAGTATATGCGGTGACATATCTACGTGAGTGGACGTGCAAATAAATAACTTGGATATCCACTCTTCTAGCTATATAAAAAAGAGGACCGTCAATTTTAATTAAACAAACGTAAGATAAATTTATGCATGTAACCATTAGGAAACACTTAAGATTGCTTGAATGACTGTTGTGCTATTTACAGCCTACACTCGGGACAAAGCACTAACAAAAAAAAACTCCTTATTTCCCGACACTAGCTAATAAGAACTGGCTAAGAAGTTTTCATCATGATGTGTTCCGAAGTTCTCCAGGGCCTTAAATATATACTCCACTAGAGTTCGTTCAATTTTACTGTGATATTATTCATTGGGCAAATGGAAAACCATCGGGTACAGTTACGTATCACAAATAGACTTCGTTTACTGTTGAGTGGTGTTATGGAAGATTGCTTGTGTCTAGACTCACGTTAGTCCCTAAGGCGTAGATGAGAATAATTTTTTGAGCTCGTGGCGTCATACGATTTCTTGAAAGTGCCATATCCGATTCAAGGTCATCAAGTGCCAGAGGATCTAACAATGAAGAACAGCGGTCAATACGGCAGGTTACGGTTGAGCCCGAAATCTTGCATAATATATGTATATGAGAGTCGAATGTTGCAGTCGCCAGCTGTTTACACGAATGTCACCGTAAGACGTAAATAATAGTACAACCGGACTAATTCGGAGCGACTGTTAGTAATTCTTCCAGATATCTTTAACTCGATTCCTTTTCTATCTGAAATAATTTGTTGTATTTCTTTGTTTTAAGGCACCGAGACATGAAGTTTTTTTCAGAGCTCGACGCTACGAACAGTCGTAAGTTAAGGAGAGATGGGGATAGGCAACTAATTATTGCATTTGACAATCGCTACGGCATGAAGGTGAGCCAAATATTGGTTCGCTGCTGCTGATAATGATGACGTCGGTCTTGATGATACGTTGACTGGTCGCCTTGCCTATCTGGTGTGTTTCTTAGTCTTGCGGCGAGGGTAAGTGGGTCTTGGAAGGCTTCTTTTTTGGTCTTGGAATTTCCTCCGCGGGTTGCGCTGCCGTTGCAATCGCTTAGCGGCGGGCGGCAGCAACGTTCGATAGAGAGGCAAAGAGATGCCGTGGCTATCCGACTTCTTTGCGTGTGATTGCCAGTGTTGCCGTCGAAGGGCTGAATGCCCAATCGGCAGCAGCGGCGGCATTGGCGGCAGTTGCCGCAGCAGCGGTAGCAGGTTGGTCTTGTCTTCTTGTCTTGCTGAAGACAACAGCTGGATGGATCTATTATCCGTCGTCGATGATCGCTACAACGATACCGTAGCACCGCAGACCAACGTTAATATCACATTTGTTGTCGTTGTTATCCCATTCATCGTCTTCGTATTCGTCTTCGTTTGCTGCCTGTTCCTGTGTGGCAGCCAATTACGTACGGCGGTCGGTCGGTCCGTCCATGTTTGTGTGAGCATCTAGCTGGTCTTGCTGATCCGGCTGATGTGCCTCTTCGGTCTTGGTTGACGCCGCCGGTGCGGTCTTGGTTGCGCGCGACGCTGCGAAGGAAAGAGCGCATCGATTCCCCTCGCGTTGAGCTAATTCAGGTGACGCGCAACGCCGACGCTACAAGGACTCCGATCTCCAGGCAAGACGCAGAGTGCGCCATAAGGAACGAATCGGAGACTGAATGCATGTTCCGATCGTCTCAGACTAGTCGAGATACCCGACAGAAGGAGCGCCCGGCTCCGCATTTCGAGACTTCACGCAGGGATACGTATTAGCTTAGCCACACCGGTCGGCTGCTTATCCTAGCCGAAGTAAGGTAAGTTGATTTTTAGAACAATGAAAAATTACGTTGGACCATGCATTGCTAAAACGTCCCAAATTTGCCACTCATAAAAGGTGACGTGTGGTTTTCATTGATGACGTCATGTCACGTTGGCTTCATGCACCAACAGAGTCATACAAATTTCGTTTTCTTGTTCTGTCCCGTCAGCTATCGGATAGCTGCCCTAATCTAGTGGGTCGGTATCACGTTTTTGCGGATGCCACTATTGTGGATTTGGTAAACAAGCGTTGATTATTTGAGGCGTGTTTCTGCTGTATCGCAGTCTAAATGGTTAGTTGTAAAAAAGCTAACTCAAGTATCTAATCTTTACCCACTGGGCAGATTCAACAATCGAAAACCTTTGTCCATGTTAAAAAGTTTTGTATATGAATAAAGTTATAACTCCAAATTGTTTAAGCCAAACTCAATTATGAAGTCAAAGGACCTTGTCCGCTATTTAAGGGCGCGCAATGCTGCCTATCAATGTATTTCATTGAACGCAAATAGTATTTCATCACTTAGTAACTCGGATAGCTTTAGGTAAGTCACTCTAACGATTGCGATTTAGTCGAACTGTACAAGCTTAAAGCCGAGACCAGGTTATTTCTCTACAATGATTTAAGTTGTTATACGAAAATATAGTAACCGTTGCCCCTGGTGCTCCAATCAGGCGAAATAGTGCTTATTTTTCATTGACTTCACGAAAAGAGGAGCACACGCTGATCATTTTGGGTAGATAGCATGCTGGTGGAGTGCTAGGTATTATAGATTAATTCACAGAACACAATTACAGACAAGTACGCGGACGAAGATTTTATAAAAATCTTCGTTTAAATAGCGATAATTAGCTTGATCCGACGCTATATATGTCCAACCCATGACTCATACGCAATCTGCTCTCGATTACTGAATTATAGCTCGGTTTTGCGTGCGCTTGTCATCAACTAGATCGTTACCTGCCGATTCATCATCAGATGGCGAAATTCGTCACTGTCTCTGTTTATATCTCCCAAAAAAATGTCTTCAATGAAGTCTGTTTACCTTTTCCTACTACTACTACTACTACTACTACTACTACTACTACTGTCACATACAAGATACGATAATCGTATGAAAATATACACAGATATCATTATCTCTGCTTTTGCCTCCCTAAGAAAAAAGTGTCATCAATGATGTTTATTTGTCGTTTCATACTATATAAGATACTTTAAAAATACGATCTATTTATGAGTGAATGATCTCAGATCTTCCGATATCCGAGTGCAAAGCAAATCTGAGTTCGGCGAATCAGATCTGTAGACCCGATGTTCGGAGCATAGGGACGATCGGTAATCTTGGAAAAGGATATGTAACTCGAATAGAATTTAGAAATCATCTTGTTGCTGGGAATGATGCGGGCATCCCCTCAGAATGCTTGCTTCTGCATGCATACGTAACGTAATTAGCATTGGGAATATAGGTAGGGGGGTGAATCGGAACCGAGTGTTCGTAGACGTATCGTATAGTTTGTAGCAGTTAGACAGTAATGAATTAGTCGCCAGTTAAAGCTAGCTATTGTGTCACGCCAAATAGGCTGTACTACCAGAAAAGCTTGCGGTTAGCTGATGTCTTTAGCTAACGCTCCCAATTTATGAACGGTAATTTTCAGTACTTAGTTGTTTGTCCTTGGTGGGATACGTCGACGTAACTGCTCGCTAGGACCTCTCCAAATTGGTTATTGGATTTGTTTTCTCTGGTGGCGTTTGTGTGTAGAGGTGGTCAATAATATGTGGAAGGCTTGAAGATATTTTTTACTATTTAAATTAGCTTTGTCTTTTTAAGACCAACTAGTATACTGTGCCATTTAGAATTTATCGGGGCGGCAATAAAATGTATCCATAAATTGGTCTGGTTAATTTCAGTTATATAATGGAAATATTAGAAGCAGTCAGTGGTACGCAGAAGATACTTTAGAAAAGGTATCTTAAATGCATAAGTAAACGCTGACGAATACACTTCTAGCTGTTATTTACACAACTATACGGTCGACATTCGACGGCTAAGAGTAATAAAAGTTCCGAACAAGGACCATTATATAGTATAAAATATGACAAGTCTGTGATTGCTCCAGGTCTTACCAAAACTTTTTTCTATAAGTCTATAAGGGACGGAAGTGGCCAGAAAATAGGATCCAATCACTGATGCCGTTTACTCGATGTAAGATCCATTTAAAGGGGAAGACCATCGAGAAGAACTAAGGGAAGCCTAAGCAGTTCATGCACGTAAGTTGTGATCTCAATACAAGTTGGGGTTTCTTGTTGTACGTGTTGCTTTCATAATTAAATCACGCATTTTCGCCACCTCAACGACTTTTCCTTCACCTTTGCTACCTGCTTTACACGTTTTTGGTTGTAAGCCAAATATCTGCGAAACGCATTTTTCTAAACACCAACGACAAGAATCACCCAAGTGTTACATGTGGTAAGAAGTTTGGTACTTGTTTACTAACGTCCACAGTCAACTTTGATAGCGACTCGTTAGACGGCCCTTTTCTCAGAACGCACAGGCGTTAAGCACAGCTTATCTTTCCGCACACGTAGAGATCTGTCTATTGGGTCTTAAGCATCAAATAGCAAGATATAGTGGAGATGGGACCGTGGCATCGGTATCGGTATCGGTAACCATCGTCTATTGTACCTTATCATATTGTACCCTGTTTACATTGAGTCTCCACAACATATCTTTCCGTATCTACTAATAATACATTAGAATTAATAGTGTAACAGTGCTGGTGAAATGGGTCCGTAGTTAGCTTAGCTAGTTATTTTGTTTGCCAAACGGAAAGAGTTTGTAGTCTGTTAATTAGATCTACTATAGAGATTACCCTGGATCGATTTGTATTGAACCATCTTTTTCCCGATATAGATTGTGACGCATCTAGCTTTTCAACTCGTATAAACGGGTAAGAGAGAATCTAGGGCCAAACTCGAACCGAAGAGAGTACCTTTTTAGCCAGCCAAGTTTTTACATATGTGGAAGTATTAGCACCTTGAAGTTGTTAGTAGAAATCGAAATGTACGGCGGCCAAATTCGATCTCGTTCGACTGATGAATTTTTCTACAGGACGACATACCGAACAACGAAAATTAGCGAGATGACGTTCGAGAGTATTTCGTGTACGTCAGACGTCGGTGACTACGCGCGTGAGATCGTGCGATCTAAATCTCCCCTGGATTCCCGGGGATTCTATATCGTCAATCTCAAAGACGTTTTATATAAGATTCGTCTCTGGAAAGAGTCCTGCCCTCGCATTCAGCCATTTTACGGTTCGTTGTTAACGTATCAACTAATGATGTACTAACTAAAATGGCGTTCGTTGTTTGTTCTTTTTTTCTTAGCTAGCTTTCAGTTTTTCCTCAGAGCTGCCGTACGGCTCCCAGCTTTAGTCATAGATTAGATCTAGACCTTTCAGAATGTATTTCCGCTTAGTTCGGCACTCTTGGCCAGCTGTCCTACGGCAATAAAACGTATTGTCTTATTATAGAATAGTTTAAACAATTTCCGCTACCGTCCGCTACATTTACATGCTCATGCGTATGCGTTCATATTGATTATAGCCGTAAAATGCAACGATGATCCACTCGTGTTGACGCTGCTGGCCAGTTCGCGTGTGAACTTCGATTGTGCTTCAATGCAGGAAATGACTAAGGTTTTATCACTTGACATTGATCCGTCCCGAATCGTCTATGCACATCCCGTCAAAACCGTTCAGTATTTACAATTTGCTCGTCAGAATAGAGTGACGCAAATGACATTCGACTCATTTGACGAACTCCAGAAGGTAGGTCGTGGTGTTTTTCCGGTTCAGAATGGACAGCTCATTAGAAGCAGTCAGTTTAGTAAAGGCACACTTTGGATTTGATCATTCGTACGAAGCGTATAGCAGGCACGTGCAGTATTGCTCTTATCATGCGATTGCCTCTTTTAAGGTCATTTATATCTAGAAATGATATAGTTTTACTAAATTTATCTAAATTGATAGATTCGTGAATTCTACCCCGAAGCGGCTCTAATCATAAGACTAAAGGTTGATGATGGTGGATGTGTCTTCAAATTGTCTAAGAAATTCGGTTCTACGGAAAAGACGTCGGAGTATTTAATGGAGGAAGCTCACAAGATGGGACTAAACGTCATCGGAGTGTCCTTCCATGTCGGGTGCTCTAAGAAATCCTGTGCTATCTTCACCAACGCCATCGAATCTGCACGAAGACTCTTTGATTATGGTGAGTTATTCGCTTGATTCATTCAGAGAGCGTTTCACTGTCGTACGTTACAGCTAAGCTACTACTCATATCCACGACGAGCAAGCACAACAACGTAAAGCACTTTACTTTTAGGTGAACGACTAGGCTTCAACATGAAGCTACTTGATATCGGCGGCGGATTTCCTGGATATCGAGGATGCGAAAACGAATTTTGCGAACTCGCCAAAGCTATTAATATGGCTGTGGATAAGCTCTTCCCGAAAGGTCGAAACTATGAAATTATTTCCGAACCTGGAACATTCTTCGTCGCTTCGGCGTTTACTCTATTTTCCCGCATTATTGGCAAAAAGGTAAGTTAATAGTGACTTTGGTTTGCCTAAATATTTAATAGCGTTCTCGAATGGAAACACGTTTTAATGGCAACTGAATAAAACACACTTGAAGTAAATAGAAAATGCATTAAGGACGTGTTTTTTTACATGGTCTTGGTGGAAATAAACCAAATCCTTCAAAAGCCAGACACAATACCCAAAGTAGTGGTGGTTATAACTTGAAGCATTATTTACGTACGTATACAGATAGCTATTTTCCTTTAATGTTCAATTGATTTGATTAGTTGAGTAAAAATTATTGTCAATATGATGTCCTTGTTATAAATTAACTTGGGTAGAAGCCCTAATGGTTTGATGGTTCTCTCTCAGGTATTTAATGAGAGGTGCGCCGGCATCTTTAAGCGCAATTATACACTACATCAGAACAGCAATGGACATCGAACAACGAATGAATCGGGAAGTAACGTCGAAGCTCGAGCGGAGGACTCGTGTTCATCGGATAACGACTCAGACGCACCACCTGCGAAAAATAAGTGCAATCTTCAATGTGCCGAAAACCACGATGCGACGGAGGTGATAGCCTGCAAACGTTGCGAATACTATATCAATGATTCAGTATATATGAGCTTCAATATGTGCTTCTTCAATGAAGACCTTATCCGTCCAGAACCCCTTCATCTTAAGGAGGTAGGCAAGTTTCTCAAGTTACTTAGGCTTTGGCTTAACTTACCCATTGAACGAAAATGCATAAAGGAAAAGAAAACATTGATGGGAGCGAATTTGTGGAGGTGGGGAGCAACTAAAGCTATAGTCTTACTTCTTAGAGATTGAAATCTGCGATACTATACAGTTTTTTTTTCCATTATAACCACAATGGGCATAATTTGTATTTCTCCGTCAGTGCTTGTATATAGAACGAAAATCTAAGATCATCCACAAATTGGCAACTACCTGCACCAGTTTCATGAAAATATTATTTTGTCTTAATTTCGGCGAAAGAAATATGCTCAATTACTCAAAAGTGTTTATAGAACGAAAAATCACTAATATTCGAGCAAACCATGATCATTATCACGAACTATGCACATGTACACAATTCCAGAGAAAGTGTTATGCAGGAACATTTGGTTCGGCGTTAGCATTAGCGATATAGAAAAATATACAGATAGCTTCATAAAATGGGTGTGCATCTAATTGCTAGTCTCGGGTTAAATAATTACGACAGGCTGACGTGGGCTTTACATCGGCTACTAACCGTTTGCGTATTGTAATAACAATCACCGTATACTTGTTTCTTTCAGCGTTTGGATTGTCCTCGAGTAAAAACCGTTCTATGGGGAAACACCTGCGACGGAGTCGACAAGGTACACAGATTAACGGGGACTGAAACATAAGTAATATGTGCATTTGGTTGACTGGTAAAGCCGCCATATCTGAGTAGAGAAATATGCTATTCTCTCACAATTGCAGGTAAAAACGCAGTGTTTACTCCCAGAAATGAACACTGGCGATTGGCTGCGTTTTGATTCGCTTGGCGCCTACTCTGTTGTCCTTGAGACAGCCTTCAACGGAATGGACGTACCCGAACGTTTCTACATCAAATAAGCCGGAGTTCCACCTCGAAATACGCTCTTCGTTAAGTATAGGAGGCGTAAGATGTTCAGTTCCTTTGTGCATCAAAAGAAAAAGCTGATAATATACAATTGTGATTGCTCATGTTTTTTGTTCCTACTTAGTGGAGTAAATAGAATTTAGTCGGCACCAAGAATTAGGACACAAGTATTTAATAAACCGATCTATATGGCGTAATCCTTGCAAATGCAGGAGAGGACGAAATACCGTGGTAGTAGCGGTTGTGTGATGTGAAGGTATATAGCCCCGGAGCTGATTTGGTTGTGAAGTAACCTTTGATTCTGAAAACGGATAATTTAATAGGAAGCCGACAAAGTCCACATGATTGATAATACTCGTAAAAAATAAAACTTGTGATGTGGCAGAACCTCAAGATGGCGTCGATTAGACCTGCCAAACAGACTTTATATGGAATAAGCACATTTCAGATGACGTAGAAAGAAGCAAATACACAGATATCGTTGCTCGATAATCCGTATGGGTATTTGAGTATCATCCGATAATACAATAGCTAAACAATTCATTTCTTGTACTTCGCGAAGAGAAGCTCTATCTATGACCATTTCTGAATTGTACTTATTTTTCAGTTAAGTTGACAATTAAGTGCGACGCTGCATATATTCGAGACTGTATACCCTCTGTTATTAATTGTTGTTATTATTACTCTAATTACATGCCATTAGCGCGTAGTTGTGATTTATACGAGTCGTTACCGGTTGCGCAATGTAATATCAATTTCGAAAAGTGAATAAATACATATTTATAACTTATATATACGAACTGCTTCCTTCTAGTCAGCTTAAGAGATTACCTACGATCAATACTAGGCATAGTGTATAGGGCATTTCCTCCGACTTGGATAATTTTTTTTGGTGAAAGTGGGTGGTATTATAATATAAATTCATGCTCAGACGCGGATAAGCTCAAATTAGGAACACAAATAATTCGGGAAAAGCACGAAATCTCTACGGAAACCTTTGATACGCCAATGTACATAGACGGGTAAACAAAACCTCTTTACATATTAACATTGGTTCTTTTTACCGGTTAGTTTGCGCAGATGCACGGCGCAGTGCCATATCATTTATTTTCGCTTGTCGGCCATCGCCTTTCTATCTAAAAATCTGGCTAGATAAGCGGTCAAACGTAAAAATGGTTTTTCGTGGTTAGAACCAGCTAACACGAGCATTTGTCGCGTTCGTACGACTTCTACTGCTGCGAGTACATACCAGTTGCCTGATATTAGTGTACACGCATACTCTCATCCTACATACTTCTACTTTCTTCGTCGCCTTCTGCAGAGTGTTGGTTGGGGGTTGTCAGGTTGGGCATCACGTCGGGTAGACGACAATGATGGCAAGAGCCTTTAGCTTGGCCGAAGCAACCGACATTGCCGGCCCGCGTATGGCCCATCCGACGTCGCCGGTCGGTCGCTTGTTGCCTGTGGGGAAAGTCATTCGCTTATGGGGACAAGGGGAACAAAGCCAAGTAATAAGAAGTGGATGTCCTTGTCTACGCGACAGAGGTAGAAGCAGCATGTAGAAGCGTCGGAGCGAAGACACGTCTTTGCTGGTCTTCTCCAGTTTGCCTACGGAGTGCTGCTAACGGTCCAGCGTGAGAGGTCATGCCATATGAAAGCGGCGGCGGTGTAGTTGGGGGCAGGGGGAGTTCCTCGTGGTCCGCGGCGCCTGCACGAGAGGCCTAAACCAGCAATAAGTGTCAGCACAGTCGGGATGTCAGTGAGTAAGCCTCCGGTGCTGCTGACTGTGAAGAACGTCTTGGGGTCTTCGTTCTTCTGAGTGCTGGTGGTGGGTCGGTTAGATTGTGGGCAGCTTCTGTTCCGTGGACAGCGAGTGGCGTACCGGTGGCAATAATACTTTTACCTACCGCGCGACTCTCAATATCTTCGTTCTTCCGTGCCGCAGCAGAAGCAGTGTGAAGCTTGAAGACTACAGTTTGCAAATCGCTAGCTTGGTAGAGTACTCACACGCAGCTGGTAATAGTAGTCGTGCTGCTGCACTGAACTGGTTGGAAGAAAAGACAAAAGTGGCCCTCCGCAGCAGTCCGAAACGAGCTCGGCGACAACTGCGCGAGTGGAATAGAAGAAAACCCTTCGTGGTGCTAGCTCAGCTCAAGGAGTCCAAAGGGTGTCTAACGGAATCTAGGGATTCACCACTCATAGAGTGTCCTGTCAACAGGAAGATGCTGTGATGGCTGAACCAAACTAGGACATCGGTATTAAAACTGAACATACAAATACGACGCTTTTAGGAGGGATATAACGATGAAGGGGGTGGTGCCACGTAGAAACGCTATCATATTGTACAACACTACATACAGATTTTCATCCAACATGACGATATGACAGCAGACGATTCAAGCGGAACATCATTGCTATGCAGACAAAGAGGAAATGCGTCTGAGTCAAAGCTACGATACTACACCAGTGAACCTTGTATAAGAGACACAAATTTCGTGGCCAGTTCAGCTATCGAAGTTTAGCGCTTGTTGACTGAGGGGGGGGGGGTACTGGACGCGTTCCTCCTACAGGCGACGCGAAAGCGACTATATACCGAAATGAAAATTCGAAGTCAACACATTAGAACAGATTCTATGACATTGCACGGGTACTAAGTCATTAAAATGGCAGCTCCGGTAGCGGATGGTGAAAAAAACTGGCCGAGAAGTGAAACGCTTTGACTTTAATTTTAAAGTACAAATAGTGCTATAGGAGAGATTGCTGAGTGACGAAAAGATAGCATCACAGAATTTGGCTGTACAGGCCCAAGGTAATAAGCAAATCAAGTATGACTCACGGTATTTTCACCTACGCCCAATAAAATCTAGATTCTATGCCTATATGGAAAAGGAAAACAATGGGACTACTCAGCATTGCCTTTACAGACTATGATATTGTAGCTTTAATAAAGCGTGGTTCAAAACGGCGTTTAGACTCTAGCCCAAGTTTGTAATGGATATGGTGAAGTAATATGCCGGTACACATTTAGCAAGGAACAGTACGATAGATACCTATTGTACAATCAACATTGATTTGATTAAATCCAATGATTGAATATTAACATTTAGTTTTTACTTTCAAGTGCTAACTTGAAACTTCTTCGACTATAGTGCACTTACTATACTATTACAGTAGTAGTATAGCAAGTGTAAATATCAGCTTCTATTTAAGTGGCTTATATTGCTCGCAACGTTGAGAATTTATCCGAATTACGTTACTTGTGGATACTCATATCCGTACTTAAAAATAGCTCGCTGTAAATACCAGACTGTGCTTTGAGTTTTGCACCTGAGACCATTGTCAGATTTTATATCAGGCCGCCCCTAGCACAAGGCGAATTGTGCTTACTCCATAGAATCTAATATATGCGTTACTGTGCACCTAAGGCAGGTGTCCTACTGCCGAACCTTCATAGGGATCTTCTGTTTTGTGACAATATCAAGGTGACATTCAGCGTTTTGAATCCTGAGTGCCGGTTTCTGCACCAATAAAGAATTCAGATTTTTCAGCAAACCTCTGATGCGGCGGATCGCATAAAGTATTATAGCAAGATTTAGCTCGTAATCCGTAACATAATCCGGACAAAACGATCAGTACAAATCACAGATGATGGATCGAATCCTCGTGAGGGTTATGCACATTTTAGTTGAGCCAAATACCGATTGTATAGCTAAAATATAATAATAGTAACAATAATCCTAAACATATTGCTAGTTATTCTGATATAAATATACTCTGATAAAGCAGAAAGTTATCATTTCTTGCTCACAAGTTATAGCTATGTTCCAATTGAATCGATAAGTAGATCAGGAATAAAGAGGCATTCTAATATAACTACATCCCTGACAAACATAGCCTCTGGCAGCTTATTTAATACCTGTCTAAGAATAAAGTCTGTGTCACCTTGTTGAACAACTGGAGAATCGTCGAAATAACAATAGCTTTTTCAAAGGGGATCCAAAGATGCCCAAAAAAGTTTGGGTGACACTGCAGAGATAATCTTGGTCCATTGCGTGATACTATACGAAAAGTCGTCGACGATTAGGCTGTCAGAAATCAACTAAGTGTTCCCCATCGTAAGCCGATACGACATATGCGTAGCACAGGTTAGTAGCTTTTTTGCGCATGTTGACGCCATATTGACGACTTCACGTGTCATCAGCAACGTGGGTTATCTGTGATAAACGCGATGAAGGTGTCTCGATACGAACCTATGCGAAGTATCTGCAAATTTGAAATGTATTTTGTTCATTCATGTTTATAGATATCTCACTAAACGTTATGCTAGACCACAACATAGGGTTCTAATCTCTTAGCCGCATTCAAATGTTAGCTGCATGTTAACGCGTCAAAAATTTTCTTAAACCGTCGAATGTTATTTATAGTCGGTGGTACACTTAGAACTAATACCGTATATAAGTAAGGTGATTTTTATTTCAATCTTTGGAAAGCCGAAGTCGTCTAAGTGTCAAAAAGGTCAAACGCGGGTTAAAGCCGAGTACTTTATGATCTGATTGGCATAATGTATGTTAGGCGTGATCTCTGATTTTTCTACCATCAACGAGATCTTTAAGCATAATGATTTTCACCTGCTGGTAGACTTTGATAAGCAGTTAAAAATCACAAGACCATCATACAAGTTCGGTTTTTTTTGTCCTGAAATAATAACTAATGATGTTTACTTTTGACGAAAGTACCCGTTCGCTAGTGTTAAACTTACTCGGCACTTTTCTACTACTTTTAGGATCAATATTTTCATTGGTCTCTCATCTTAGGTGGCCATTGAAATCAGATCTATATTTTTCTGATACATATAGCAAACAGACAACAAGAAGGATATCTCTGTCCAGTCCGCTTAAGTTTAAATGTGGGTGGTTTGCAGTCACTCCCGTTGAGCTGGCGGAACCGTAGGCTTTTGGTATTGCCTAATCAAGCTGACGGACATTTTTCGTTTAATGTAACCTCTAAGGCGCGCTTATATGGAAACGAAACTGATATCCTAGACCTATTTTTTATCATTATCGTTGTAGGCTACCAGTCGGTTCCATTACAGTCTGTTGTGTTATTTAGATAGTTTAAAGGACCGTTATCTTCGTTGCTGTTACTACTACTACTAATCATGGTAACGGGAATTTTCTATTAATAGGGTTCATCGAGAGTTCTTGCGACATCTAGGGGATGTCTTCGTTGGGGGCGTCGATGTCGTTCGTGTTCCTCCCGTAAAATGTCTCTGCCTCGTTGGTAACGCCGTGAGCCGTCGTTAGACGCGGATGCACCTGACAGATGACTGACAAAGCCGAATGAGCTGCGCAGCTGCTTGGCAACACTGCGAGAGAGCAGCTGCAGGTTGCCGTGAAACGAACTAGGTGACGAAGGCACTTTCATAGAGATCGCTGTTGATTCGGCCTTGAAGATTGAAAAAGGTCGAGGCGAAACCGGTCGCCCTTGCAGTTATTGTTGTTGGTGCACTATCTGGTGGCGGTGCACTGTTGTTCCCGTACACTGTTGATCTTCGTATACAGGTGAGGTCCCCCGTAGTGCAGCTGGTTACCGAACTCGATGACGATGGGCACCTGCTGAGGCCGAGATGCGGACCTTGCTGCAGGTGGAAGACTCGGCGAAGGCGGCACAAGCAGAGAAAAACCCGGTGCGTGCAGCGGCAGCCTGTCAGCGAACAAAAGCAAAAAAGATGGCCCAACGTCAGCAGATGTACATATGGATGCGTCTAACGCGATAGCAAAT